CCAGCTCCATGACCTGTGTCCCCCAGCTCCATGACCTGTGTCCCCCAGCTCCATGGCCTGTGTCCCCCAGCTCCATGGCCTGTGTCCCCCAGCTCCATGGCCTGTGTCCCCCAGCTCCATGACCTGTGTCCCCCAGCTTCCATGACCTGTGTCCCCCAGCTCCATGACCTGTGTCCCCCAGCTCCAGCTCCATGACCTGTGTCCCCCAGCCCCATGACCTGCGTCCCCCGGCCCCATGACCTGTGTCCCCCAGCCCCATGGCCTGTGTCCCTCAGCCTCCATGACCTGTGTCCCCCAGCTCCATGGCCTGTGTCTCTCAGCTTCTATGACCTGTGTCCCCCAGCTCCATCTGTGTTCTGGGCTTTGCTCTCTAAGGTATAGCTGCCATCTTTATGCCCCCATTCTCATGCTCAGCTCTGGATGTTCAGGGGACCCCGGGATGAGGCAGGGGCTCCCCTGCCTCTGCAGCACCCCTAGGTCTCTGCTGTGAGACTCTCCGGCCCAGGGCTCCGAGGTATGCACAGCCCTCCTGCCATCATGCCTGTTTGGATCTCAGTGCTCAGCAGCTCCATCTCTCTGTTTTCTGAGGTCTGTTATGTAGCCCTGGCTGTCCTGCTGGGAGTGTACGCCAGGCTAACCTTGAGCTAGCCTGCCTCTGCCTCTGTCGTGCTGGAAATAAAGGGGCACACTACCACACCTGACTCCAGCTCCATGTCAAAACCAGGGTGGATTTTTTTTAATTGCACAAATAAAGAATATGCATTCTTTTGAGAGAGGCAAGGTTCCATGTGATTGTGTATTAAACTATACTACTTTCGCTATAAAGAAAAATAAACCATTTATTTTCTCAGTAATTTGCCTGTTTTTCCTTGTTTCAGCCTAACAGGGGAGAACTGTCGAAAGGGTTGATGGTGTCCCTGGGAGTTCTCAGGGTTGCTGCTGCTGCTGCTACAACAGGGTCTCCTATTGTAGCCCAGGCTGGCCCTGAAGCCAAGCCTATCTTCTTGTCTCAGACTCCTGGATGCAAATGACTTGCTCCAGCACAGGCCCCTTCCACCCTTTTTGGGACCTCTTGGCCGACTCTAGTGAAGCCCACAGTGTCTTCTAGGCCCGGGCTGTTCTGTTCCTGCTGGGCACATGCAGCAATGAAAGAGTCAATCACTGTTGGCCAGATGCACATTCGCTCTAAGTATGGGGACATACTGACTTAGTCTTTTTAATATAAAAGTGTAAAATAGGCTGAGCATGGTGGTACACACATTTAATCCAAGCATTTGGGAGGCAGAGGCAGGTGGATCTCTGTGAGTTTAAGGCCAACCTGGTCCACATAGCTCCAGGGATACACAGTAGGACCCTATGTCCAGGAAAAAAAAAAAAAATAAAGGTAACTCAACTAAAAAAATTGTGTAGTGAATATATGTTAAAATACATTAATTATCAAATAATATAAAATTAGTGAATGTGAAACACATACCCTCAGTATAAATCTATTTTTACCTTTTAAAATGTTGCCACTATAAAACTCAGTTTGCAGACATGGGGCACGTTTTATCTCTTGGTCACCTTGAATTCAGAGCTGTGGTTGGCTGCAGCTGCTGGGGCGACCAGCCCACCCACACTGCCAAAGGCTCTAGTGATCATGCTTGTTGTATTCCACAGGCTGTACATGGAGTCTCTAGGCTCCAGGACTTTGGTATTTTGGAGACAGTCTCTGCATTTCCAAGAAGATAAAGAGCTCTGAAACTTCCCAGCCACTGCTGTGTTAGCTTTCTTGTTGCTGACATGGCATGCTGACAAGCAGCTTAACTCACAGCTTCAGTCCATCTGTCAGCCAGAGGGACAAGGAGAAAGAGAGAGACTGAGGCCTGAGCCAGCCAGCCTTTCCCTCTTCTTTCTGGGCCCCAAGCCTATGAGATGTTGTTGCCCACAGTCAGGACGAGGCAGTCGGCTGCAGAAATGAAATGCTGTGAGGTAGATTCCTGACGTCCCCAAGTCCTGAGGACTCTTTCTGAAAGCCAGGTTCCCTTCCATTGGGCAAGGTCGACCTGCATCCCTCCTCTTTACAGTTCTTCTGAGCACCTTCATTGGCTTTTGCTCCCTGCCCCTGGAGGGCGCTGGAGCCACCGGAAGTATTTCAGGGTGATGGGGATGATCTTAAACCGTCACTCCAGAACAACCAGCCTCCACTTGCTGAGTTCTCAGGCTCATTGTCTCGTGGGTTAGCATGGTAAATGGGTGTGTGTGGGGGGGAGCAGTGGCCTTAGGAACCAGGGAGACGGTCTCAACAGAGGACACCCTTTTGGTTCAAGTGGATAAGACTCCCAGCCTGTGGAATACAACAAGCATGATCACTAGAGCCTTTGGCAGTGTGGGTGGGCTGGTCGCCCCAGCAGCTGCAGCCAACCACAGCTCTGAATTCAAGGTGACCAAGAGATAAAACGTGCCCCATGTCTGCAAACTGAGTTTTATAGAGGCAACATTTTTGTTGGTCCTTTGATTCTTGTTCTAGATAAAACAGACATGGGTATGGAGGACTTTCCCTGCTCAGTGTCCCGGCTTCAGGTTCTGTCCCTTAGCTCAGCTTGGAGAGAGGCTGTTGTATCTTATTGCCAAGGATGTCCCCACCCAGTGCCCAATGCCATTTCTGTTCCTTCTCTTGATTCTGGAATGGCCAATAGGATGTGGTGGAAGTGGCGTTAAGTGATTTCCAAAGCCAGGTCAAAACCAGCTTTGCTTGTGTTTGGATCCAAACGGCTCCCTCGGGGGAGGGGTGAGAAGGCTCCTTTATTCAATAACGGGGAAGGCCTTATATAACCTTCATCCAGCACCCAGTCTGTGTCACAGTCTTATGGCATGGTCATCCCTCATTTGCTGGGCACGATCAGGAACTCTGACTGTGCCTGTTGCTAGGCCTTTAGGCAGACTCCAGGTTGGCTCATAAGGAAGTATGTCATGTGCATGTCTTAGCAACTGGTCTGAGCCTATTTCCTCGACCCTATGGGCCTGTCCTACTACAGTGTTTGTCTTGGTCTTCTGGAATAGTCTCTGAGAATGGGAGCCACCATACTGCAGAGACCAGCACCTGTGTGCCAGTGAATAGACCTCTGTACCAGCTACCTCACCATCTGCCTTGAATGCTCCAGACCAACCCACAGACAGACCAGCTGAATGTCATCAAGTGTCTCCAGCCACTCCACATGGGCAGAAGGGTCACCCAGCCAAGCAGTGACTGGGGGAATTTTGAGCACAAAACCATGAGGTATGGTAGAATAGTCTTGAGCCATGAAGTTTTGTGACAGTCTGTTACAGAGCAATAGAAAACAGCACTGTGGTGGTCGTCTATAGTCCCAGTTATGCTAGAGGCTCCGCAGGAGACAGACTGAGTCCCACCCAGGCAACACAGCAAGGTCTAATCTAAAACAAAAGAAAAGGAGAAGGAGAGGAGGGGAGGGGAGGAAGCAGCAGGGCAGGGGAGGAGAGGGGAGTAGACAGAGAAAAGTAGAGAAAAAAGGAAAAGCAGGGAAGAAAAATCAAATATGAACTACAGCGGAGCCCCAGGCTTGCCCAGAAGATGTGGGATAAACAGGCTGCTCCTTGCAGACGCACAGTTCTGCTTCCCTCAAGAGATCCAGCTGGTGAGCCTGCTCTGAGCACACAGAGGCTCGTCTGTCCCCGTGACCTCCAGGCCAGACCTCGGAAGAACCCACAGACTGCTGAGGGTTGGCCTGGAACCCCTTGCGGGCAGGACCGGCAGGCCTCTTTGAGTCCAGACATCTCGTTCACAAGATACTGAAACCCAGGCTCCACTCCAGGCCCGGACGCAGCCACGGCCGACAGGACCCTCCCCACTCAGCACGCGCCAGGTTTACTGTCTGTGCCTGAGCTGCGGTGGAGAGGTCAGTTTCAGAAGCTAAGACCCGGAAGGGAACAACGGCTCCTGGGAGGTTCTGAAGGAAGGGAGGGATCGTCTCTTCCGAAATGAGCAGCCACAGTGAGGCTTGGGGTTTATGGTCTGAGGCCCTGTTGGTTCTCCGTGGGCTATGAAGACGGCAGCTTTGGGAGACAGGACGAGGCCACGGAGGGGTAGCGCCCACGATACCACCCGTTTACCACATCCGAGCTAGGGGCTGAGGGTTAAAAGCAGAGACAAGACAGAGCGGGTCATTCATCTCAGTAGAATGCCCTTTATTGAAGGAGGGAGGAGGCCTTACATACAGCCCCACAGCACAACCCCGAGGGCAGAAGTTCCCTACAGATGTTTTACATTCTTGCTTCCTAGCTGTTTACACGGAATGCAGGATACACAAACAAGGAACCAGTAAGCTGTTTTAGGAGGAAGGAAACCAGCAGGGAATCAGCAAAGGGAGGACATCTGGTCAAGGTCAGCAAGCAAGGCTACAGCTACCCAAGGAAGGGGGTGGGCAGGGCCCAACACGGAGGCTTCCAGGTGGGATTGCTAGCCCCTCCCCCACTGGCTCAGCACAAGACGTGGGCGAATGGACCAGGTGCAGACCCTTGGCTGCTGCAGGAGGCTCAGGCCTCACCTTGCCTTTGGGTCGTTCTCATTCTAGTGGAGGAGAGATGAGCAGACTGGAAATGAGCCCCTTGAGTCCCAGGGTCAGGTGTCTGAGGAAACGCAGATCAGGAGAGACCCCTTCCTCCCCCCAGGCTGCAGTCCTCACCACTGCCCACCCAAACACATCTCACCTGCTCTTCCCAGGAGGCCTGTGATGACGGAGACTGGTCCTTACACCCATTTTTTGGAGGATACATACACAGAAGAGGTAAGTTCCTGAGGGCCGGCTTGCTAGAATAGATGTGAGGACTGAGGTGGGCCTCGACCACACAGCCTCCACCTCTTACTTCCCATGGTATTCTGTCATCCCCATGAGAGGAGGCCCCACTGGGAAGCTGAGCTTGGGAATGGGGCTAGAAGGTGTAGAGCTGGCTGCTGTGATCTGAATATAGGGATGGGGAAGTGACACTCGTGTGTGTGTGTGTGTGTGTGTGTGTGTGTGTGTCTGTCTGTCTGTCTGTCTGTCTGTCTGTCTGTCAGGCTTCAGGGTCAACATGTGTTATGTATCTGCTCTTCCTAACACTGACAGGACTTCATGCCCCAGCCTGGACAGGAAGCCTCTGCAGGGTCAGCTACTACTAGGCCGAGATTCCAGAGTCACACACAAGCCGGCAGCCTGGGGAACTTCCCACGCTCCAGGTTATGTCTGGGCCTCTGCACTGCAGTGTTCTGAACAAGCCAGGGAAGTGAGCTGCTGAGCCAGCAGCCTGTGGGGGTTGCAGGCCTCTGAACTGGGCACACCGGGGGAGGGCCGAGCCCTTGTGGAGACATGTTAGAGAGGTCAGGCATCCCTGGCCTCCGGTGAGCTGGGGTTCTGTCCTCGCGGGGCGCTGGCCTCCCTCCTTCAGTCTCACCAGCCTGGACTGCCCTGGGGAAACCAGCCTGGCGCACCTCTTCCCCTGCTCCCCACTCGCTCGGCCAGGGCACGCCTGAAGGACACCCCTCCCCCGCCCTTGGCAGCTGTGGGCAGAGCTCATTTGAACAATTGCCTGAGCCAGAAGGAACATTTGAGTCATTAATTTCCTGCTCTCTGGGAAGGGCTGGGGAAGGCTAGGCCTCTGGGCCCATTTGTCTTCACACTCGGGACTCAGGCTCAGGGAGGGTCAGAAAAGCCCTTCCAGGCTTCAGAGACGTAATCCAGGCACCATTCACCTGGCTGATCTGCGGGACACAAGTTAAGTGGTGGCACCCGTCATTAAAAGGCTCTAGGTGGGAGCTGGCAGCCGGCTTCCGTCTGAGCATCGCTACTTCGCGCGGGGTTTCGAGCCTCAGTCTCTCGGTGTCAGACACACATTGCTACATGGTTTTTGTTTGTTTTTTTTTTTTTTTTCTTTTTGTCATAGTTGCGTTTCTTCTAGCAGGGCTAACCTGCTCTCCCACCGAAGCCTGGCTCTGACTGAGGCTGGCTCTTCTGTACCGTGGGGTTCTCCTTGAGACAGCATCCCTTCCCTGACAGACACAGCTCTGCTGGATTTCTGTGTGATTGTTGATCTGTGTGGCTGCAGATGCCAGGCAGACCCATGCTCCTTTTCCTCAGAGAGGCTGAGCCTGCAAGAAGACACAGGCTGAACTTACTTCCTGCCCCTCCCCGCCCTAAAAAAAAACAAACAAAAATCCGGTTCTCCGTTTTCAGTCTATTTACAGAGCCTTACAACCATTGTCCTCATCTAATTACACAACATTTATTACCCTGAAAACCCCCCACACATTGTCCCCTCCTCTGCCCAGCTGAGGCCTCCTCCTGAGCAGGTCTGTAAAATACATGGGCCTCTGTGTCACACCTGTCCTGGGGGAAGCTGCCCCTCAACTACCTCCTGTTCATATTCGGACCCGCCCCTTGGAGCCACCCAGTGTCTTGACGGAGAAGCCTCTTTTGAAGGAAAAAACTCCGTCCTCGACCTCCTTCTCTCTTTCCCTCTCTCTTCTCCCCTCTTTTTTTATCTTCTCTTCATCTCTATTATAATTAACTGTTTCCACGGGGATGCAGCGTCTGGGCTGTGTGTCTCCACCCACTCCTCCGCCATGCCCACATGAACTGGCCCCCCTGCCAGCCTGCTGCTGCATCTGGGGGTCCCGCTGCATACAATTCCTAACACCCCCAATCTCTCTCTCCCCAAGCCCTGCCCTGTCTCTAGCCAGCCATCGCCTTGGGGAAGCTGTTGGGAAAGCTAGGTTAGAAACTCCGCCCCGGAGGCAGGAACAGACCCAATGGATAGAGGGTCTGCCTGGTAGCCAGTTTCCTTGTCATGGTGATAAAATACCCTATAAAACAGTGTGAGAGAGGAAGCATTGGTTCTGGCTAATGGTTGCAGAGATTTGGGTTCGGGTTGGCTGGATCCACTGGATCCACTGCACAGGATCTTAGGTGAGGCAGAGCATCATGGGGCTGGAATGTATGGCAGAGGCAGGAAGCAGAGAGTGGAAAGCATCAAGGGACAAGGTGCCCTTGCAAGGCATGACCCTTGTAACCACTGCCCTCAATCAGCTCCTGGAGTCCCCATCTCTTTTGCAGATAGTGCCACCATCTCAGGACCAGGTTTTTAACTCATGGTCCTTAAGTCTGGGGAGGCTCTGTTAGTGCTGAACTCGGATCTCACTTGTAGCATGGCACCCGACCCAGCTGAGCCTGGAACAGAATCTAGAACGAGCCTCTCTGTGAAGACCATGTGTCCTCTTGCTTGAAAAGAAGCAACCACTAACCTCTCTATGAGAGAAAGTAACTGTCCTTCACTGAAGCCACTGTTATTCCTAGCTTCTGTGACAAACCTAAGAACCACACCGAGCAGCCAGCCAGTGGCTATAGCAGGAAGGTGTGGACTAAGGTGGGTAAGACAGACACAGGTAAGTGTCCTTCCTTCTGTTGTCACACAGGATAGAAGTGACCTCTGTAGTTTTCTTCCCCTGGATTCTACGTTCCGGAAAGCTGAGGCTCAGGTCTTTTTATCTTTGTTCAGAAGGTACGCCGTTATTTTGACATGAACACCTTTGATCTTCTACATTTGCTAGCTCCAGGGTCTTTAGCTCTCTAAGTATTAATTTCTTTAAAGATAGAGTGGAGGTTATAATACCACGGCTGTTTTCATCACATGAAACATGATGTCTGGTCCTTAAGGCATTTTTAGACACTCAGGAAAAGGATTTTAGAGTCTTACCCCTGTCCTTTCTAAGAAGTTCCCAGTCTCCTGCTTTTGCATAAGACTGAGTCTTGACTCTGATGTGTGTATTAGTTTCCGAGGCTCCACCTAACATCCTTTGGGTCTCGAGAACCTCACTGGACACATGTCTCTAGGTTGCTGTGTCTCAGTGATGGCTTCTTCCAGGTTGTGCCCTCAAATGCAGGGAAGTCTTCCATGCTTGGCCCAGGGAGCCAGATGATTCAGGAGACAGAGAATGTGAGGTTTTCCATTCTGTTCAAGGATCTTGGTCAGAGAGAAGGAAGTCGCCTGGAAAGGCAGACCTAGTTTCCCATCCTTCCCTGGTATTTCCATGGCTTTTGCAAAGTGGTGAGCTGTTTCTTCTCTCTCTGGGTGGACTAGCCTTGTCAGTTAGTCCGGCCAATGACTGGAATGAAAGTAATCCTGTCCACTTTGAATCTAGACCATAAGTAGCTTTGTATAATTCCACGTGCTCTCGTTGACTTGGTCTTTGTATTTTCTTTTTGACCCAGCTTTTGAGAGATTTCTCTGAGTCTTTGTCTTGATGAGGCCTTAGCATGCTGAACCCAGTTCAGGAAGAATTCTGTCAGGCTAGCTCAGCATGCATACCTTCATGCCTACCCAAGTGCCCCACGTGCACTGGCTTTCATCTTCAGCTGCTCTAGTATCAGGCATTGAATTTAGTCTCTCAAGTCTCGGCACCTGTTGCCTGCATTAGGTGGAGGATAAGAGGCTGTGTGGAGAGCACTAGACAAGCCTCCAACCCAGCCCAACCAGCCCTTAGCAGAGATAGACCTGTGACTGGGCCTGGCCAAGGTAAGCTGCCTCAGAGACTCATGGGAAATAAGATGGCTTTTAATTTAAACAACTAAGATTTAGATGGTTTGAACTGTAGCATTCTGATTGGCAATACATAGGGAGGAGAAAAGATAGGGTCACTAGAACAGGACTGTTACAAAGCTTCTCTACTCAGAGCTAAGTACATACAGAGTGCACGTGTGTGGTTTCCAGATTGTGTGTGTGTGTGTGTGTGTGTGTGTGTGTGTGTGTGTGTGTGTGTCTGTCTGTCTGTCTGTCTGTCTGTCTGTCTGTGTGTCTGTGTGTGGAGTGTTGGGGGTGGTGGTCAAACCCAGGGCCTCACACACACTAAGCACACACTTTCTCATCAAGCTACACACCTAGCCAGCTTCTGTTTTTGGTGGCCCAGCCCTGAAAAGAGATGACAGAGGAGTGGATTTGCAAATGGTCTGTGTCACTCCCTCAGCTACCAGATGGAAACCAAGAGGTGAGAGAGGCTGTGCTAATGCTGGAGTTGACTTATCACTTTGTTCCAGTTGGGCTGTTGGCAGATGTTTCCCACCTGCCAGTTCCCAAAACCAACTGGAGACTTAATATTAATTATAAATGCTTGGCCAATAGCTCAGGCTTGTTACCAGCTAACTCTTACATTTTAAATTAACCCATACTTCTTATCTACACTTTGCCATGTGGATTCGTACCTTTTCATCGGCATGGCACGCCCATCTTGCTTCTCTGCATTTGCTGGTGACTCCAGACTCTGTCCTTCCTCTTCCCAGCATTCTCTGTTTTGCTGTCCTCCTAACCTTATCCTGTCCTGCTATTGGCCAGTCAACTTCTTTATTAAACCAATCTCAGAGACATATATTCACACAGTGTAAAGGAATATTCCACACTGGGCAACAATTAAGTCCTACATTCCAAGTTACACTAAGCAAACACACGTGAAGCTGAGCTGTAACTGTTGGCCCGAAGAGTTAATACTTTTTATTATAACAGTTAATGCATTATTACCCCAGCCCTGGACAGTGGAACACCAGCCTGAGGTGTTCTGTTGTCTAGAGCCCAGGGTCCTTGACTTATTGGTGTCCCATGCAGCTTCTCTGGCAGCTTGGCCATTTATATTTTATTTGTTTTGAAGTGCTGGAGATTGAACACATAGCCTTGTACATGCTAGGCAAAGCATTCAACTAATAAGATATCTCAGCCTTTTTATTATCTTTTTTCTGTTCGTTTGTATTTGTCTGTGTATGTGATGTGTGTAGGTACCTATGGAGGCCAGAAGAGGGCATCAGATCCCCTGAAACTGGAGTCACAGGCAACATTATGAGCTACTTAGTGTGGGTGCTGGGATCTGAAGTCAGTTCCTTTTGAAGAGCAGCAGGCTCTTCTCTATGCCCTTAAGAAACTGTTGTCACTATTTATTAATCTACTGTGTGTGCACACATGTGCATGTGCACAAGCCAGTATCTGTGTGCATGCCATAGCTCACATGTGGAGGCCAGAGCACAACTTATTAGGAGTTCTCTCTCTCCTCCCTGTCACCTGTTTGGCAGTGGGTGGTGTCACCCCCTGAACCATCTCACTGGCCCTGGGTTCTTAATTCAAAATCCAGTACAATGCAGTGGCACTGGCACACATATAATATTGCACAGCCATCAACACAGTCCCTTTCCAGAATGCCAGGCAGAGCTCTACACACTGACTACTAATTCCCTTCCCCCATCCCCTCTCCTTTCTAGGTGACAACTATTCTGCTTTATGATCTGTTAACTCCAGATGCCACATGCGGATGGGGTCCTACCCCTGTTCTTTTGGTCCTCTCAGTTCCTTGTTTTTACCAAGTGTTTCCAGACATCAGAGAAGCAGTCCACTGAGAACACTGGAGTTGCACTTTCACTAATGTCTGACCTGTTTCCTTTGTTCCACTTCAAGAACT